ACGGAGTTGACAAAAAGCCAAACTACCTCAATTTATATGATGTTATTCTGAAGGAGGCCGTATTGTAGCTCATCAGATCCATTAAATCTTTACATTATACCAAAATTAAGCTTTTATTTCACAAAATGTCATCAAAGTTTTGTAAATTGTCAGTTATGGAGTTGACAAGCAACTTAGGAATAAAACAGAAGAAAAAAACTAAAGAATAACTTAAGCTAACCAGAGCTAACTAGCCCTCTTAGCAAAGGAAGAGAAAGGAAGAGGTCATGGGGGCCTGAGAAGTTCTGGTGCCCCCCAATAATGCCTGATTTTTTTTACATTCTTTTCATTTCTGATGGTGTTGACAAAAACTAGGGACAAATTTCAATGGAGTTGGAAAATATCTAAAAATTATTTTAAATTCAATTCATTGATACTTTTATAATTATTTATATTACTACTTGTCACAATATATAATTTTAGTATTTCTTTAATTGTTTTAAACTATTGTAATGTGTTGAGTTCTGCTCCTGGACAAGGAATTTTACAGGCATCATCCACTGACTACAATGTTTAAAATAAAAAAAAATATTCAGGAAAATATACATTGTTGTGCTCACATGACCCAGGTTAGTTTAGTCAGATATTTGAAAAAATGTTGTATATTTTGTGTATATTTTATTCAAATTTTGTGCTTTATCCATAGGACCAGTTTTGTCCCTATTCTCAAGAATCACTGGACTAATTGTACATGCCAGAGATTCCAGGTCCAAGTATGCGCTTTAAGAAAGGCTGGTTTATGTGGCAATACTTTGTATGCTGCCTGGACCACGATGATATTATAAAGAAACTGAAATAACTTTTAAGGCAAAGGTGGAGCGATGCACTCGTACTGTCTTTTCTGGTCAACAGGAGAACAGCACCATTTATTATAGGCATGACTGAATAAAGTCATTTTACAGAGACTTCACATCGATCTAGGCAAGATAACTTCATGGATGTTTCAAGTAAATGTATTTTTAAAGATTAGATGCTGTTGATGGTTACCAGACCAAGAAACCTATCAAAGTAATCTACCTCGTCATTGAGCAACATCTTTTTCATGTTTATGTAAATGTGTTTATCTTCACCTTCATAAAATCAACACTGTTGTCCAGTACAGCTTCTCTTCTGAAAACTAACAGGAAGTTTTCTTCTTCAGGCAAAATCATGTTGGCCAGCTAGAAAACAAGACAGCAAGCAGAGATCTCGGTGAAAAGATGCACATAGTGTTGGCTTTTACAAGTCTGTACAAGTTAAATTTTATCTTTTAATCTTGGTAAGATATAGGTAGTCTTACTTAAAACCATTTCCTGCTAAAAAAAATGCCTCGACAAAAACTCTGCAGTCACATTGAGACATCTTTCTATAACTGGTGCACCCCACAGAAGAAATAAATTCTCATGTATTCAATTTTCTTTCCTTTATTTAACCAGGAAAAACAAGAGGGAAGAAATCTGCAACAACCTGGTTGCACAAAATGAAAACACATGCACAAGTTTAAAACATAATACAAAACAATTTAAAAGCTATGACACTGACTGATGGACTCATGTTGCATGTTTTTTAAGAACCGCTCAACAAACTTCCCAGGAAATAAGATCAGACATCTTTAGTTTAGGCTGGAGCTGATTCCATGATATATAGTGAATGCTTTATTCCGTTTTTCTGTTCGAACACGTAGAACATGCAAAAGAAAAATGTTGGCACATAAAGAACGGGCAGGAACAGATCGTTGTTTAAGATAATTTAAGTAGGCGGGAGCCGAGCAGAGTTTCATGAATCAGTGGCATCAAGTGATTGTATCTCCGTAAGCTTAAAGGAAGCCATTCAGCTTTTGATGTGTAAGATGTCTGCTACCTGTTACAAACCTTAAAGCACAGTGGGAGACAGTATTCAAAGTATTGAAGACATCTGGTAATTCAGAAGGGGGAATAGCTAAACATATCTTTAAAAGAGATAAACTGCGACTTGATTTTCTAAGCAGGACGCCATAAAGGAAAGATTTACAAACCCTCCGCTGAACGACCTCTGCACCAGCTGACCTGGATCTGCTCCAGTTGTTATTGAGCCAGCTCTACATTAGTGGATTAAACTCTCCGATGAGAACGGTAATAAAGGATTCACCCCATCAGAAGACAAAGATGAAGCCATGACAAGGGCAACTCACCAACAGTGCTGTTTTCTGCAGAGGCATCCCTATAAGGCCTTTTCTACACATTAGATGTATTAACTACTTAAGCTCATTTTCTAAACAGATGACAGCTAAAGGCACAAAAGGTCTTCACCAAAAAAAGTTAATAATCGGATGATTTTCCAATTTGTGTTTTTGTAAATGATGACCAAGTCAGCACAGCTCTAAAATAAAACCAGAAAGTGGTTTCCACTGGCTTTGCTGGTAAAAATGCCTCCACATGGCAGCTTTACATCACCACTGTGATGTGTTCAACAGGAGAATTGTTCACAATGTAGTCACATTTACTAAGTTTGACAAGAGTGGTCATCGTTAAACTTTTCTATACTCGATATGCTAGCTTTCACACTTCAATAACGGGGCAATAGCAGCTAAATGTAGTTCATTTCTCTTTCTGCTGATATACGTGAACAGACACTGGAAGCATGCCAGCACTTTGTGCAACTATGACAGGATCTTGTGGCTTGCAGATAAAATTGTTGACTTCCTCTTTGACTTCTATGCATCTGTAAAGACGTCTTATTAAACAAGCCTTCAAGACTGCTGAACCTTTGGTACGCGCAGAATATCAAGTAGAAAAGTGACAACACTGGAGTTCACTTGTGGAAACAATTTCACTTAAAGATGCATTTCAGCACAATATGGTTTGTAAGAAAATACTGTTACAGTACATTGTGTAAGATAGAATGGTTGTAAATTTTGCTTACCAGTAGTCTAAACATCCTGTTTACACCAGCAGCTTTTCTTGTTTTCCAGAAAGCATTAGTAATCTGAATTTTGAAGGTATTAATGTAAAAGTTTTGGTTGCCTTTAAGGATTATTGGTACAATCTGAGGTTATTAGAATTTGTAATGTGCGGTTATTAAAATGGAAAAAAAAAAAAACTTTATGCTGCACACAAATTATTTAGCTTTAGCTTTAAAGTTTATTGTGTTTTGTTAGGTTGAGTTTTGTTTGCAATTTAATAGTCACGGCCCAGGATGTTTCCAAAGGGTGCCAGTCATTTTGTGCCCCACTTTAATATAAAATCAACCACCATGGTTAAAAAAAAAATCATTGCATGTGAGATTTTGTTTCAAACAAATCAATTGTGCTTTCACAAAGAGTGATTTAAAGTAACATTCTACATTATGCTCAAATCTAATGCAGAAAAAAAAGTGAGTATACAAATTCAGTAACTGTCTACAAGCAGCGTTTCAATTTGAAAGTATTTTTGGGTCAGCTATGTAAACAATTCACAAAAATGTTTAGTCCTAACATCTAGTGTAAAGGCTTTTATTACATCCTAATTCCATTGACTGTGCTTCTGGTTAATGGTTGAGCCAAACTGACTCAAAATAGGAAACCTTGGCCCAAAAATGTCTACAGTCCTGTGAGGTGAATAGGTAAGAGGTCATCACAGCTGGTATGACTTTCTCCAAAATGGACAAGAATTGATGCATGGTCAGAACAAAATAGTTGATTCTGTGGCAAACTGCTTCTTTCATATCGGTTTTCTCATAAAGACCAGAACTGCAAAAGCACAAAACAATAAGACCTCCGAGTTTCAGTTCTAGACTAGTTCTAGTCGGTTCACTAGAACCAACTAGAACCGACTGACCCAAACACAGGTTGGGTCAGAACCTGTGTTTGGGTTCTGACCCAAACACAGATCAGAACCACAATGAATTGAAGGTGAAATATAAAAGCTTTACTACATATCCTGTTAAACTAAATCCTACATGAAATTTGAGCATTCATATGCTCACATTTTAAAAGCACCCAGAAATAATTACTAAGAAAAACATGGTGACACACAGATATAAATAACAACTAGTTTATTTGCAGAAAGCAGAAGGATGTTGGTTGCACTGCTGAGGGAACGAAGAGGGAGTATCCTGCCTCCACGCTTAATAAGCTTGTTAAACCAAAAAATTATAGCTTCAGCATTATGGGATAAAATGAAATAAATCTAACCAATCAATACATATACATAAAACTTCTAATGTAAATGAATTTAAAGTTACAATCATATATAACTACCGAGCTCCTCTAAGTAAGATCAGTGCAGATAGATTTGAAATAGAGAGATTGTAGCCTGTTAAACATCTGAAACTGCTACAACAGCACTTGCTGGAACTGATTCTTGGCAGGAGCTGTGAGTTATGGATTCACAATCTGTTTTTTTCTTTTTTTTAATAAAGAAAAAACATCAGATAGGCAGGGGTATACCATGTTGAGCTCACCGTCCATGCTTCAACCACAATAAATCACTGCATGTAACAAGCCACTAATAGAAAATGCATATTGATTTCTTCCTTCAGTATTAGAGGAAGCCAAGGCCTTTGGTTCTGTGGGTGTAATTCATCAAAGGAGTGATCCCAATGAATAGTTTCTGTCCTCTGGTATAAGTCGCACACTTAATTACTTTGGAGAGGATTATGTTGTCTTAGACCAGAGGTTCCCAAACTGTGGGGCGCGCCCCCTAGGGGGGGGCGCCGTGTCATTGCAGGGGGGCGCGGGAAGCCGTCTGGATGAAAAAAAAACAAAAAAACATGAACACTGTATGCGCTGGGTTTTTACCTTAGAATGGTCAACTCTCTGTTATTCATATGTCAATTTGATACAGTAGAGGCTTCCACACTTCCCATATTTGTGTCTTTTATCAGCAGTTAAAACTGTTTAATCCCTTGTTAACATGTTGTAACCTGTTTTTCCGAGCCGCCTTTAACATGAGCGCTACGACGCTCGCGCTGGGTTTCCACCTGTGAAGGAGACCTGCTGCTGCTGGGCGGAGCTACGTAGGTTTGTGTTAGAATCACGGCAGCAAACCAGCAAAATGCAAATAACTTTTCACAGTTTTTCCCTCCAAACTAACCGACTGAGTTGAGTAAAGCTGTTGGATTCAGGTAATGTTAGCTCAAAGATGACTAGCTAATATCAATACAGAACCTTAAGCTTAACAAGTACCTTGTAGGCTGCTGATGTTGGTGTCTATTTTCAGCTACGTACATTCATTTTGCCCCCCAAAAAGTCGATGCCCTTTCACACACACCCCCGTCACTTCAACCAGACAGCCATTTGTACGCAGAAAATGTTTGGAAACCACTGGGGGGGGCACAGAAGTAAAAGTTTGGGAACCACTGTCTTAGACTATGAGATATCCTGATTAGCCAGACTGCAGCCTGGGATCAATGTGAAAATAATAAAGGCGACTTAAACCAGTAAGAATCAGTAAATTACTAGAGAAAACTGAAATAAGCAGCATTCAACTATTAAATGTGTATTTTATGAGTGAGGAACAATTGAGTTCTTTTCACCTTGGAGCTTTTGAGAACACAAGATGGTTTGGACAGCAGTTCTTATGTTGCACAATGTTGGTGTTAATTTTAAATGGTTTTAAGAGAAAGGTGGTTGATTGAAAAGGAATGAGGCTGAAGACAGATGATGCTGCTGTAGTGTAAAGAGGAAGTAGGCTCAAAGCAAGCAGCTTTTAAATGTGTCATGTCTGACGAAAACAAATGTGACAAATGTTGTGTTGAGAGGAAGCTGAAGTTACAGAAAAGAGGGCCAAAGGATAATAGTAATTACATTTTAGAGTAACTAAAAACACTTTTAAAATGTTCGCATAATACATATATTAGTGCTGTTTTCCAGCTTGTCCAGATCACAACCAGTCTCACAGAGTTTCTGCTTACGTGGCCTTGTTGAGACAACCTTTTTATTGTCAGGCCTGAAGCCAGATGCCACACTGAACAGCCTTCATAACATACTTGGAATAAGATATGTGCAATTAGAAATGATTCAGCTGCAATTCTTACAGGAGCTGAGAAAATCATTGTAAAACAGTTATTAAACTTTTGATGATTTGAAAAGATAAGGTCAGAAATATGCAGTGTAATCAGATAAGCTGATTAACACTGATCATCTTATCTCACCTGGTCAGGATAAAAAAATAAAAAAAAACACAACAATAAGCACGAGAACATCAGTCTGGATCACAGAGCAACAGGAGAATATGGCCTGGCCCAATGAATGAGGAACAAGTGGCAGCAGGATGGATTATGAGAAGACAAGCTGATAGAGAGCTAGTCTATATCAGCTTGTACGACATCTTGGACAATGTAATGCTGGCCGTCATTCGTCTTTTATCATCTAATTATAATCGGTCCTACTTCAAACAAACCTGTGCCCAAACCCTCCATGCTGCCATTCATTTTTGTTTAACTGAAGCAGCATTCTGTTAGAAATATCTTTAAATTGGTTTATGACTAATATAAATGAGGCATGAGCAATCGTACCTCTTGAATCTGTAGTTTACCATCAGCAGTCACATCATAGGCGGACATGAACCTCTGCTTCAGTCTCTGAACTCTCTCCTCGGTGGCTTTCTCCTGTGAAAAAAAAACAGCAAAATCAAAATGAATCGCTGATTTTTCAGTTTTGTTTATAGATAAATTAATCAGGGTGAATAAAGTCTGATTTTGAAGGAAATACAACACAAAAAATTTAAATGTAAAGAATATAAAGAACCAGACTACATAACCCCCCCCCCAAAAAAAAAACAAGTCTACCTCTCCAGCTTAGTCACATTTGTTTTTGGTATCGTCTCCATGGATACACCTTTAATCTAAGACTTTCTCTTCCCTCAAGGTCTGTTTTTTGAACTCAAGCAAACTAACAGGGTTTATGGCACTTGACCTTAACCATGTCGTCCAACGACAGAAGTTGTTTGACATATCCAATAAAGCAGAAACCCTTCATTGACTATTTGGCTCTCTGCAAATCAAATGTCCCAAATTGACTGCATACTTTGTGAGATGTAGAAATCAGTCAGTAGCATTTTTAAAGGATGTCACTGTGAGGGTTATCTGCAAACAATAGACCTACTCTTTTGTGAAGCGCTGCAGATAAAGAGGTAAGACTGACAGCAGCACTTCAGCTCCCATGTGACCCTCTGGTCTCAGGTGTTATATATATATATATATATATATATATATATATATATATATATATCCAACTAATCAAGCAGCAGTTGAGTCCTGACAACTCCAGACCTGCAGGGGTCACCACTCCCTGTCTATACTGTTTGAGACAAAAGTAAATAGCAGCAAATTACTAACGCTGGGAGATGATGGGGTAGAATACTATTATGTGTAAAATGGATTGGGCATATGAAAAAACAGTTTGAGACTGAGATCCATTTGTTTTTGTTTGTTTATTTGTTTGTTTTTTTGTATGTCTGTCTGAGTTTTTCCAAATATTCTATAAAACTAATATCAATTTAGATTCCAGTCACATCTGAAGGCAATTATACTTTCAGGTTCTGAAATTATTCTACTTAGCAACCAACTTTCTAAATTGTACACTCTAATTTTCAGTCACCTTCCTGTAGCTATGGAAACCTGTTGATCCATGGCGCTTAAACCTTGAATGATCGCTTTGTGCGGGGCAGAGGAGACGCAGTCTGCAGACCATAAGGGGCCACAGTTATCACGAATCGAGATCAAGAGACACACACTATAACAGTCACTCAGATAATGACACTGAAAACAAAGACAAGCATAACATCTGGCTGCTGACAGGTCTCAGATAAATACAACAACATATATGACAAAAAAAAAAAATTACACATCATGTGATTTACTACTTCCCCAAACCACCTGCAACATTATGAAGACATTTTGTTTAAACTGAATGATTTTAACATAATTTAGATGCCCTGATACAAATTTCCTGTCATGCCACGGCAACATGACAAATTACTTTATATTTTAGCCTTGGTTCGAAAGAAAATATAAATAATTCACAGTCATGATGTGTTCAGCTTAAAAGGATACAAACTGTAACCTAATACAGTATTTTACTGTTTGTTTTTTTCTGTTTTTGCATCCAAACTGACTCCATTTCAAATTTCAAAACACATTAACTTGTCAAATCAGAACGTTTCAATTAAGAGGCTTTTTTTTTTTTTTTAAATCATAAATCACTGAAACTGACTTGTTCATATGGTATACAGTTTGCTGAGTTATTTAATGTCTCTTCATACCTGACATGTTTTTTCTTCGTCAGAGGTGTCACAGCTGTTCCCTTTTTCTGTTCATACATCCTTTTGGTTATACAAAAATATGTGTGTGTAATTTAACCTGACAAAATGTTAACTCCACATCAGATCAAATTTCAAAATTACTGATACAGCAGTATAGTACAATGAACAGAAACTGATTATATTGGAGTAAAAAAAAAAAAGAAAGATAGAAAGCTGACAAACCACAGTAACAAATGGCAACAAGATGATGCACAACAGTAAATGGCAGCCAGAGCAGATGGGACGGATGTGCAGTGTCTTTGTAGCTTGACAGAAATCCATTGAACATCATCCGTCCTGAGGGCATTAGTGGCGGAGAGCAAACATCAGAAAAGAAGAGAGTAATATAAGTGTGGCAATCTGTTTGTTTTAGTGAAACCCAATTAGTATCCAAGGGAGTCTGCTCAGAACGCTGAAGAACAACAGGCAGTGGATGTATGCTTATTAGAGTTTCCATTAAAACTGGGCCGGGAAAGGGCTCGGCCATTACTCAGCTTAACCACATTTAACTTTGCTCTGCAAACATGATGTGCCATTAGTGAACGTGGTCAACAGGCTCTTTTTCCTCCATCTCTGTTTGGAACTGTATCGACTTAGATTGTTCTTTGATAGTTTTCGGGTGTTTTTAAATGTACTGTCCAGCATCACTACCGAGACCTCGCCCATTCAGACGGCTGCAAACATCTCTGGCTACTCAGACAGCAGAGGTCTATAATTTTTGCTCACTTCAAGTTTTTTTTTTCTTTTTTTTTTCCCCAGTAAATGATGCTAAGCCTAAATTTTCTCACATGTGCTCCATAAAGATATGAACCCTATTAACCTTTCAAATATGGACAATTTCATAGACAATTAACAGCACCACACTGCTGCTGCTTTTAGGTTGTACAATTAGAAACATGTGCAGATGATGCCACAATCTGTTGCCTACTGTCTGTGAAAGTGTATTTATAAATTAGTGGCATATTTCTACAGATAAAACATTCACTCACCTGGGGCCCCAGTCTTTTCATCATGTGCCGGAAAAAGTCATCCAGCTCTTTACCCTCAATGTAGCCATTATCTACAAACACAAGAACAAAAATCAAACAGTTGGGATGTATAGCAGGTTTTTTTCTTTGTGTATAAAAAGTAGATTCATAAACAATTTTCCAATAATAACCCATAAAAAAAAATCTACTTATTCTCTTACTTGTTCAGTGCACACCTATTTATAGCATCACAGTTGATTCTGCATCCATGATATAAGCAAACCATCTAAGGTCTAATAATGCAAGCCCAGCAAAATTGTCAAATCTGAAAATGCTTTATATTAAACAACAATGTCTATTAATAGGCAAAGAATAGCAAGATGACATGAAATGTCCTTACCGTCTGCATCAAAGTGTTGCCAGATTTCCAAGAAACCTGCTGCATCCAGGTTGTCAAAAGAGATCTCCATCTTTCCAAAGAAAAGGAAGCTTGAAACTTCTATACGTAAAAACAAGGACGTCTGCAGAGATGAACTGTGCTGCACTCCTCAGCCGTCTGCTTGCTTGACATATGCTCTCTCAACTAAAAAAAAAAAAAAAAAAAAAAAAAAAAAAACACCCTTTTTTTTGATGTCCCCCAAGTCGTCTGTTTTTGGGGGTTTTTAT